ATGTAAGAGAAATGCAAATGAAATCTACTTTACTAACCACCCTGATGATAAAGATTACGACTTTGGGCTTTAGAAATATAGTAACGACAGTTGAGAAAAATTTAAAAATATTTTATTTTCGCATTAAAAACCATCATCATATTTTGTTGACAAAGCGTATTTAATTTTTTTTTAATTTTTGTAGTCGTCATAACCGATATGAATTGTCTTAACAGAAATTAGGGTTTTTTTTTTTTTTTATTTAACTTATGCCCGGCAACTAGGGCCATTAGCTGTTTGTGGGGGTTATGAACTATGATAAGGGGTAAGGTTGATACGGTAGGTTGTATTTTACGATGGTATGGTTGATAGCAAACACGTGTATGTGTGGCAAGGTTTTTAACCTAACCACTATGATCACCTATCCGGGAGCTAGAAGCTGTAGCCGTTACTTACTCTCAGTCGCATTCTGTGACTGGTAGCAACCAACGCGCCACGCCAAACCACAAAAATTAGGTTTTAATTTAGGTTTATTGCTAATAAAAGTAAAACTTGATTTAATTATTAAATGATATAGCTTTGTTCGAAGTTTGGGGGTCATATACCCTCTTAGCCCTTCCACTAGACATGATACTGTTATGTAAGACCATCCAATGAGACTGGACACGTCCATAGATCTCGTAATAAATATTTTGTGGTACAGATATTTTGTTTAATTAAAGTGTATATAAAGTTCATATTTTTTTAACAACGATTATGTTAAATTGCAAACGTTATTTTAACATAATAAATTTAATTATTTAATCTAATACGTATTAAGATTATAATACACGAATACTCTAAATTATAATAAGTGAACAGAAGGAATACATAAATTATGAAATCAAGAAATTTGATAATTATGAACAATTTAACTATAGTTGTTTATTAAATGTTAATAACACTCAACACATTTGTAATATTCAACATGCAATTATTTTACTTGTTTCAATCATAAATTACTTGTATATTAGATGCCATATCACTTTAAATAGTCATCTATCCAAGAACAAGCAATAAAAGGTGCAGCCTTGATAAGTACCAGAAGACTTCTGAAACGTCTTCTCGGCACATCATACAAATTACATTTTTAATGTTAGTACACATCCATAACATTAACGAATAGTCCACTCTGAACTAAAAACTATGAAAATTGAATAACTTAGAACTTACAGAACGCTATGCCATGCCAGAGGTTCAAATCGATTTATTCAATTTTCTTAGTAATAAATAATCGTAACATTAATGCTTCATCACATAACATGTGAATAAGTATGCTTTAATTTTTCACTCTGTCAAAATAAATTATATTTAATTGAGTGATATTGAGTGTAACAACAAATTATAAACAATAAGAGTTAAAATAAAGATAATTTTTTTGTACAAGAAACAATTTAATTAAAAGTTGATTACAATAATTTAAATATACTTCATAATTAACCATTTGCTCATAATTTAAAAATATCTCCATAAGATCTACTATCGAATGAAAATCAAACAAAAAATTTAACTAAAAATATAAATAATTACAAATATTAACATGTTAATACTAAATGTCATTATCATTATGACATTGTAATTTTTAATTAATATTTATGAATAAATATGCAATATATGCTACTACATTTAATTTCAAATAAATAAAAAAAAAGAGAAAAAAGCAATTTGATACTTAAATTAATAAAAAATAAAATTAAAATGTCTTAAAATGAAACCGACAACTAACCTAACATAACCAATTGTGTTAAAAAATAATTAAAATACACATAGATAGGTTACCTAATACTGGTCGGTTAATAAATAATTGAAGAACTTAAAATTTACATTTAAAAAGTGTAATAATGGCCACAAAATATTTATAGAGCTAAACGATAGTCACTTTATGAAAGAAATGAACACCAAATCTGTATTCTAATTTTTAAGACACTACTCATAAAGGGACCAAGGTTAAGAACAAGACTTATGAAACCTAGTACAGTTCTTCCCATGGATAGATAATATGCTGCTTTATAAACTCATTAATAATGTCTAGTAAATAATTACTCTAAAAACAAACATTTTCTCACAAAATCAGATCTTAATAATTATCGATAAAATGAATTTTCGAGCAGCAGAAGAAATAAGTTCTGAGTTAATAAAATCTTTTCTAGATATAAATGTACAGTTATGCAATTTATTATTTTAGCGTTCAATGACCATAATATTAGTATTAAATACCATGTATATAAACTGTGGTATGATGCATTCTTTTAAAAAAAATTAAAACTTTGGATTACAAACAAATCCTACTCTTGTACAGTTAATTATATCTATTAATTCATATCATTGTATTGAAATAAATGCTCATGCAATAATTTAACTTGTAAATAAATTTAAAAAATCTGTATTAAATATTGAAAAAGAATCAAACAATACATCAGATTTAAATCCTAGTATGTATGTACCATGGCTCAACAGTTTACTTTAACACAGTAGTAAACTTTAGTATTAAAAATTAATGAAACAAGTCAAACGCATTAAAATGTTGAATTCAATAAACAACAATCTTAGAAATTCAAAAAACAACGATGAAAATGATATATATAGGTTTCCTTGAAATATCATACAAACATCAATGTCTACTTCTGTTTCCAGATCTTTTTTAAGCATGATTTCAGACAAATTTCTTTAAATATAAATAGGACCATAAATGATGCAGGAAAAAACTTTAACCATAGATGATTTAGTACTCAATAAGCCAATTGAAAAACTCAGTAAGACAATAGATAAGACCATTAACAATGATTGTGTAAACTTCATAACTTCTAATGAAAATCTGGATAAGAATATTGAGCTAAGTGAAAACTTGAATGACTCTGTAAATTACCATTATAATAAAACTGATTTAAACTCAGATGAAATTGATAATGAATTGGACTTATGTAGCTTATCATCAATAAAAAATATTAGAGAACTTCTAAAAAAATAAAATTTGAATTTATGTTTGATGAAAAAGCATATAGGGAATTTAAAAATAGCCAATCCATTAAAATAAAAATTAATAATAATAAATCTATGATCACAAAAAAAGCACTTTATATTAGTTATTAGATAATAAAAAAGATATAGTAAGTACAGATTGTTTAAGAAGATACATTCCTATCATTTCAAATAATAATACTCCATTAATTGTTCATAAAAAAATAACCATCAGTGATCATAAACGTATTGGCGATTGGCCTTATTTAGATTAAATAAAACTAAGAATGAAGAAATACTTTTCAAAAAAATGTTAAGTTTGAAAGTTTTATTATTTATAGGATTCTTGCTTTTGGAAACAAAGCTTTTAATAGACAATTTATAATTATTAAAAAGAAAATTTGGATGAAATAGAATTTTATTGTAGTTGCTACGCATTAAATAAATTATATCAGTTATTTTCATTTGAAAAAAAAAAGTGAATATCAGTGAATCCATGGCGGAATTAAGAGGGGACAGAGGGGCTTGCTCCCCTTGGCCCATAAGATGTGTAAGAATATAACTGTGACATAAAACTTATAATCACGATTCACGATTCTGATGATGATTCTTATAGTATATATATGAACAGTACAGACATTGAATCATTTAGCTCAGATGAAAACAATCAACCCATCAATAACCTCATCTTCAAACTGACCAAAATAAAAAAAAAATTCCAGAAAAATTAGTCTCAATAAATAAAATTATTATATTATTATGTACGACACAAATTGGTAATTGGGAGAATTAATAAATTTTTTTAATCAAGAAAAAACATTTTATACAATAAAATTTTTAAAATCACATCTGAATTATTTTTATTGGCCAAAACATCCTGATTAACAAGAAGTAAAAAGGTAGATATAAAATATATTTTTTATGGATCTATAAACCTTCAAGGATTTGAACCATTTACTATAAAAAGAAATTAGTCATCAAATTATAAAGATATACAAAAGTTTGAAAAAAAATGTAATCTAATAAATTTTCTGATTATTTTTATTTAAATTTATTTTAAGTTATAAAAAAAAATATGTTTAAATATTTAAAAAATTCCCAAGTTAATAATCAGATTAAAAATGATGTTCTATTTAAAATATCTTCTTTTTCTTTTTTCATTTATTTTGTATAATAAGTACTTGTTCTATTTTATTTATTTTTAATAATATAAAGAAATATTATAATCTAATAATACTTTGAGAAACTTTTATTCCAATTAAGGATTTAAATAAAAGTTCTAAATCTATATATAAATAATATTTTGTGTATAATCTATTTCATTAATTTGTTAACCTATTGTAAACACAATTTTTTAAATTTTGTGTAAAAATTTAAAATTATAGATAATCTGTGGTATTGTAATAAATACTCTACATTATGAAAACATACTTATGTTTTGGTAGTCATGGTAATCTAGAGGTATTCTTAGGCCGACCGCACACCAAAAGAGCAAAATTGCGTTAGACAGTGATAGTCATTTTCGTCATAGTCAACTAAAAACAATTTGTTTTTATAAAATGCAAACTACCTAGACAAAACACCATTAGACAAAACAAAAATCAGTAATCATGTCATCGGATGAAGATATAGCGATTTGCATGTGGTACACATTACAACATTTAGAACAGAATCATAAAAAAAAAAGTTATGGATTCATCCGTTAAATAAAAAACGCATCACTCATAATGTAATTTTAACTTTACTATGCGAACTACGTTCAGACGAAAGTAAATTTAAAAATTATACTCGTGTAAGTAATGTTACATTTGATTTTATACTGCAAGAAATAGGAGAAGAAATAAGGAAAGAAAATACAAATTTTAGAAAAAGTATTTCTCCTAAGGAAAGGCTTTTGGTTACACTGAGGTATGAAACCTAATTGTTTTTTTTTAATCATTTTTATTTTTAATAGGTATAAAATTAATCATAATATATTTTTTTAAATAGTTAACAAAGTAAACTTAATCTTTTTTTGTAGTTAATTATGTTTTAAATTTGTTTTATTATTATTGTAACTTATAAATTAAAAAAATATATCATTTGAATGAATTGTTACTTCCTTGTGAAGACGAAGATAAATCCGAAGCAAAATCACTGTAGTAATAGTTTACATTTAGGTTTTGATTAATTTGTTGATCTGTGTTTTGTTCAGCTACAAAAATCATATTTTGGTCCATGATAGGTCTAGCTTGATATAAATGATTACTCTGCTGTTCAACTGGTCTACGATACATGTTATTTATATTGTTTTGAAATGAAGCTATTTGATTACTATCTTCTTGTTCATCAAGATAACTATTTAAAGACGACATAACTAAATTTTTGAATTTTCTTTGATTTTTATCATTAAGTTTTTTATAGTCTGGAATAAGGCTTTTAAAGAATAACAATTCTGGAGGTTCTTCAACAGATGCTGGCTTTGTAGTTCTTGATTTCAAAAATTCTATCATCGGTTCTGCTACCTTATCGCTTGCTGTTCTTTTATATGGATTTTTAGGTAACGTCAATATTGGTTCAATAATGTCTTGTTCACTCTCTATTACTGTATTATCTACTATATTATCTCCTGTATTGTCTGATGTATCATCTTCTTCAGACTCTACGATTTCTTCGGATTCATTTACATAATCGTTATTGATGTTGCTACCCATTTTTTTATGCTGCATCATAAAACCAGTTAAAAAACTCATACTATCAAAAAGGTACTATTTTCTTTTTTTAGAACCAGCTGACCCAGATTTTTTATTTTTGAGTTCACGAAGTTCTCTTGCAAACGAATTGCGAAGACTAGTCCACTTGCTTTTGCATACCGACACTATAAAAACAAGTACAAACAATATTACTGAAAAAACCCCTACCATAAGTAATATATTGTTGTTTAGTGATGGTTGTGGTTATCAAAACCAAAATATAGTTGTATCAAATGCTATATTAAAATTTTCAATTGATTATAAGGTAACTATCACACAAAATTGTCTAGTAAAAGGCAATATCCAAATGGAAGTGGGCAATATCCATCACACAAAAAATTCACAAGAAAGAAAAAAGGAAAATCTCTTTCTGTGTTGGATGAAAATCACCAATGTAGTGTTTTAGCTGCGTTTGAACTTCAACGACATGCATCAATTAAAATGATAGCTAATCATTACAGATATTAGTTGTTCTTCGGTCTACCGTATCTTACATCAAAATTCTTACCATCTTTACAAAATCCATTATGTACAAGGATTAAAACTGACAGACCCAATTAGAAGAATAGATTTTATATCACATATGGTAGTGTTGCATGAAGAAAATTAAAACATTTTTTCAAAAATGTTGTGGTCTGATGAAAGTTGTTTCAACAATAATGCATTGTAAACCGTCGAAATTCACACTTTTGGAGTAAAAATAACCCACAATGGACACGTGAAACAAATGCTCAAATTAGATGGTCAATCAATGTTTGATGTGAGAGATTTTTAATAATCAGTTAATTGAACCATATTTTTACGATGGTACATTAACTGGTCTTTGGTACCTTAATTTTCTGGTCAATATTTTGCCTGATTTGATGGCTGATGTACCTGATGCAGTTTGTGAAAATATGTGGTTACAGCAGGATGATGTTCTACCTCACAACGCCTATGTAGTTAAGGATCATTTGAACCAACAGAATTCATCACAATGGCTTAGTACAAATGGTCCAATCAAATGGCCTCCACAATCTCCCGATTTGACTCCGTTGGACTTTTTCTTGTGAGGTTACTTAAAAGACTGCAGCTGTCTTATATTTGTATTTCATATTTTTGTTTATCAATGCTATCACAATTTAACTGAACAGTGATCACTTTTATTTCATGGCTGGTCATTAATATTGTCCCGGTTAATAGGAGTTGAGAAAATAACTTTTATATTGTATTATTTAATAACAAAATATAGAATAATATTGAACATAGTATCATTATATCATTATTGTATTATGTTATCTACATTTTATAGACATGTTTTCAGGTTAATTTATTTTATTTTTTTAAAAGCTTCAACAATTTTAAACTTACTAAAAAGAAGTTCTTTATATGATCTTCTGGTTTGGTAATTTTAAAATCTGACAACCCTAGCTATAACTTATAATTTCAACTTTTATTACATCATAATTCTCAATTTATTGAAATAGATAAGAAATATGTATTGTTATGGGCTACGAGATATGCTAATAATATAAATATATATAATATAATATTTAATATTGCTATAGGTGTTAGCAATAGTAATATAGATATATATGTGATCTAATAATTATAATGTATACGAGATATTAGATTCATATTTTGTAAAAACATCATAATACATCAAAATAGTAGTCGTTAGGCGAGGTCGTTTTGCATTTCCAAGAATTGCCAGTAAGGACGATAACATCCTGGAGATTGTTGTTTTCAAATGTGAAAATAATTCCAAGAATTAATCTGAATTGGAAGGTTGTCAATTACAACAAGAGATTTCCTTGTATATAAGGGAGTCCAGAGACCAACAGGGGCAGATGTACCAGAGCCACGAAGACCTGAGCAACTTCACGACACTCAGCCACTTTTTGTATCAGTTACATGTACTTCATTTATCGTAATAAAACATTATTGTATTTAAGAGTTATAAATTTCATTTAAATAACACCCTGGATCTGGATCTGATATTCGCACGCAACAGTATTTCAATAAAATAAAATAAATAAAAAATACATATGACAACTAAAGTAAACTAACACCATAAATTCAAAAACAAATATCTAAATATTTTAAGTAATAAATGTTCTCTCCTAGTAATATTTGGTCATTCTACCATTAAAATGTTTTTGATGTTTTGAATTTGTGCCAGATATAGGTGTACAATAATTTAATATAAAAGGTATGGGAACCTACTTTTTTTTTAATATAATAAATTTTAAGATAAAGATAGTGACATTATAAATTGGAGTTATTATTGGCAATCTATAATTTGACACAATAATAACATTAAAGTTGTTGTGTTAACATTAATTATCATGCAGATGGTAAATTACGGATATAAATAGGTAGGAAGACAACACACACTAATACTAACTCTTGATATTATTAATATTTTCTTTTAAACTAGTTTTTTAATGGAAATAAATTATAAAATACTAACAAAATAGTTCAAAATTCTAGCTAAACCTAATTGATTGTAAAATAAAATTGATAATTACTTACCTATAATGGTAGCAGCGTTCGGATGGAATATACAATAACGGAAACCAGGATGGACTTCCACTATAACTGTCAAACGCCTTGAGGTGGCATTTTCATCCAATTGAATCGAAAAAATGATGATCGAAATCCTAAAAAAACGCAATTAAATTAATACGAAAACAAAATAACTTGTTTTTCGCAGCATTTAACAGATCGTAGTGGAAAGGATATATACTATTATATAGCATGATCCGATAATAAATCGCTGGAGTCGAGGGATTTACGGAGTCACGAGGTTAGCGCGTTACCGTTTCAATGGCAAAGAATTAAGCGTTTAACAAAACGTACCATACCTATGATTGAAAGACTGGTAGAAGAAACTCTGTGGAACATTCAAGTGACTTAAAAAAAAAAACACATGAACCGCCGACTACATCAAACGACAAATAGTCACCAATAAGTAGCATACACAACACGACATACCGTACGTTAGACACAGGTTCAAATAACAATCAGTAAATAGTAAATAGTAATAACAAATGACAGTACTACAATAGTGATTTAGCCAACGCCCAACAGACGGCAGCACGAACATTTCACACAAACGCATTACTATACAGTACACAATAACTGAATGATGTTCGTAACCATAATACGAAAACATAAAAAAGACTTTTACCCCACCACTTTTATTTATTTTTTATTCATTTTGAAACGATGAAAATTATGATGATGCAGTTGTCTGGGCTGTAAGGATGATGTTAGAAACGTTTTTATCATCGGAGTGCTTAAGACCAGCCTGCCAATTTAAAAAATAAAAAAGAAGCTATTGCCAAAGAATAAATATAACTAATTATAATAATAAATAATAATAATTTATAACTACTCTATAAGTCCGTGATACTACTATTGACATATTACAAACAAATTTATACAGAGACGAATTAAGAACAAGGCCTGGAGCACAATTCTTGCGCAAAATAAATTTCAGAACTAACAATATAACTTAACATATTTTATATCGAAAAAATACTTAGATATTCAACTTCAAAGGGAGGTTTCTAGCAGCTAATTTGAACTAGTTGAAATTCGAGAGACTAAAATAAAAATACACAAAGCTTTTCAAAATACCTATTTGGCAAAAATTTACAAATTTGATGTTAAATGTTTACTTTGAACTCTATGGTTTAGTTTTTGATTTAATAACATAAGCATGATTTTTTTCAGGTTCCTTCAACAGCTGAATGAAAGATTTTCAAAGAAAAGCAAAGATTTGTTTAAGCTGTTTGAAATTTTTGATGTATCCAGCAATAATTTTTTTAATCCTAACTGTCCTCATTTAATATTCTTTGCAAACCAATATAGTTATTTTCAATTTGATGAGTCTAAAATGTTATCCGAATTTTCCTCTGCAAAATCCTTGACTTTTAGAAAAAATATAACCAATTTGAATTTAAGTGACATTATTTCCTGCTTAAAAGATTTTCCAGTTGCTTTTTCAGAAACATTAAAAATAATATCTTTAGTTCTAACTTTACCTATAAGTACAGCTTCTAATGAAAGATTTTTTTCTTCACTTAAGAGAGTCTAGTCTTATATTAGATCAACCATGGGAAATGAGCACTTAAGTGACTTATTGGTGGTTAGTGTGGAGAAAGAAGAGGCCAATAAAATTAATCTAAATGATGCTGTAGATTAATTTTCAAAGTTGAAAAATCGAAGATATCCACTTATGTAATATAATATGTATTAAATAATTATTGCTTTATGACAATAAATGTTTTTATTTGTGTAACTAAATGGTTTGTTATTAAATTGAATTTAAGTTGTTAAATTAAAATCAAAAATGGAAAAATTTAGAAATATGAATTAAGTATATTGTGCCATTTTGAACATTAAACAAATTTCAGGTTTAGCTATATTATTTATTTTGAGTGTTCAGGGAGAAAAAATGTATAAGTTAGGTTCGGTTAAGTATTATTAAGGTGCTTTATACCCATAAATTTACTTACCAAATACCACTGGTATCAGCAATATAATATAAGTTCATTAAAAGTACCTACACATACTTCTTCAAAAATAATAATAATATTGTGATGTTTTCATACTAATATAGGTGACATATTAAATAAATTAAACAAAAATTTTTCAGTTGTTTTTGTCATCACTTAACCCCATCCCCCTTATCTACCAAAATAAAAAATTTCTATGTTGCCTGGTAATGATTTGGATGGCCTGCAAAATTTTGGCACCAACAATAAAAATGTTGAAATGGCGCCTCTGTAATAGATACTGGTTTATTTTGAACATTTGTTATTATTAAGCGTAGCATAGTATTCTCAATACTAGTTAAAATGTCATTTTGAATACGATTGCTTATATAAGTTGCATTTCTTGCTCCGTTTTCTAAATGATTCTTTATAACAGGATCATATCGAGAAAGAAGATCTAATATTTCTAAAAATAATCCTTTTTCATTATGTCCTCTAAGAGCTCAACCACTTTTTGTTAAAATTATTACAATATCAACGAGTCTCTTCATAATAGTTTGATTAGCAATTCTTTGTTCTTCTTGACAACTTATTTGTAAATGTTTTTCTTTTACTAGTATTTCATCAATTGGGTTTGCTTTAAGATATTCAGATAATATATTTACACTACTAATATGAACAGAAGTTTTTTAATGTGATTTGAACTTTTGTGGTAGCAATATTCCAGCCTCTGAATCCAGTTTTTGTATATGCATGATCGACATGACCTCTTTGAGAAAAAGTTTCACAAGCAAAACATTGTCATGGGAAACAAAATGCAACATCTAAGCATGGACTGCATTCCAGCCAATTAAATTAATTATACCAATTAGCATGAAAATTTCTTTCTGAAGCACTCAATATTCTTCAAGGAAATATGATGGCATGTGGCTGATACGGGCATTTCTTTATTCTTTCCATTCTTTCATATTGATTGGAACTTATAGGATAAACCGGATCCTATTGTTAATCTAGAATTGTATCATTTAAATAAGAAGACTGTAAAGAGTTAAGACTGAAATTACTACTGTTATTAATTCAATTTTTTTTTTTTTTTGTACATAGTACAAGCATGCTACCTAAAACTATTTATACCTTGTTTTTATATATAAAACTGTTTCCTGAAGTTATAACTTAAAAAGTCTTTTATTGTTATTAGTAATATTTTGTTTTATTTATCAAAATAAGTTATTATATTTTTATTACTTTTCAATTGATTAGTATTTAATTATATTGTATTATTTATACATCTATGCATATTACATATAATATAATATGAAGCTTTGAACAACTAATATAATAGAAAGCTTTGAATAACTAAAAATATAGACTAAATGATAATCAATTTCAAAAGCTAAGCGGTGATATTTAATTTTTTTCTTAAATATAGCAATGCATGCAATTATATAATAAATTAATATAGTGTCTATTACAGTGAATTATTCATTATTGAAACCATTCTGAAGCAGTGCACTTAGCTACTGCAAAATATATTCATTATCAATTGAACTAATTTAAGCATTATAAAAAAAACCTTTAACAATACCTTAGGTAATTTATTTAAATTAACAACTCTAAATGATTTGTTTAGCACGTAATAAGTGCGGCCCGACCAACATTTTTATCACGCGCTCGAGTAGGGACTAGGAGAAGGTAACCATAAATATATTCCTAACTGAATAAAATTATAGAAAACGCCGGAATTAACATTATGCGTCCCGCATTTGTTGGGCGCTAAAAATATAATAATTAAATAATAATAATAAATACAAACGACTTAAATGTCTTAATAAAGGTGGGCACCCATGAAATAATAATAAAATAATTATTTGTATACAATTACACTAAATAATATAACATAGTTAATGATAATTACAAGATAATTTTACGATACCGACACCGCTCGAGCCCTGCCTTGTGGTCCGGAACGCTGGAACAATGATGATGTTGAAATGAAACGCCGCGTCACACCCGGTGACGAAAAACACCGTGCGAGATTCTGTGGCGACAACACGCAAAAGAACCCGTTTCAACACGGGTTTTCTAGGACCGCACGTTACACGACGCATACGAATAATATACGATAATTTCGAGGGCTTTCACGCGCGGCGATGCCAATATTAAATAAGATTATAGGGCGAACTCGGCACACTCGATGCCGGAAAACCCCGTGCGAGATTCTGTGGCGACAGCACACAGAAAAGCTCGTTTCAACACGTGTTTTCTCGGATGGCACGGTACACGACGCACACGAATATTATAATAGTTTCGAGCGCTTTTCACGCGCGGCGACGCCAGTTGCAAATTAATTCTAGGCGGATGACCACCAGCACGGCAACGCAAACATGCGTATTTTTTAGGCCACAACGCACAAAAAACTCGTCGATCACGTGGTCCGAACAAGACGCGCGACGCCTATGGCGGGCGAAAAAGACGTAGATCGTCCGACGCGGACGACCGCTGGAAAAGAACAAAAAACCACGGCCGATATTACGGTAGCGTCGGCGAACATGACACACCGGTGTTGCGATAGTCTTGGACGACAGCGGGGTGGAGACGCGTGCGTAAAAGCTCGCACCCGACGCTCAATGGACTAAAACTGGTTGTGCCATGAACGGCGCGAATTCGTGATGGTTTAAACATGATTATTGAATACTTATTGGAAGCATCATAGATAAACCTGATCACAGAACACTTTCAATGAGATGAAAATGTAAGAATTCTATAAGACATTTTAAACGTTTTCAATAATTAAACAATTTACACTTATAACACATTTATTATTAGAAACAATTTGTTTCTAGTAGTTATGAATTTACCTGATTTGGTTTTGAAGACTCACTAAATGTAGGTTTGTTGGAACAATGTCATTCAGTTCAATACGTTTTGTACCTATCAGTTATACTACAGATAATCTAACTCTGATAACAAATAAAGGAACATATTTAAATATGTTAATGCAATAAATTACAAGCAATTAATGTAAAATTAAAAATAATAATGTTTCATTTTATATTAGACTATACAATAAAAATAAATCTTAATATAAAATATATACCTAATCAGTTTTTTTTAATCGCCACGCAATCACCACTTTCAGTACATGAATCAGGGTCATTTAAATCTTCCTCATTTGTATTTGAATTTGTAGAGATGACGTTATTCTGTCAATATAATATAATATTTAATTAAATTGAAACACTTATATCAAACAGTATCCGATTCTATTTTAATCTACCTGTTTAGAAAAGCATGAATATAAAGTTCTTCCATTCTTTTTACTAGGTTCGAGGTTTTCCATATTGACAGATCGATTGATTGACTATGAAATCCAATATAGGTATTTATTTAAAAATAAAAACTGAAATATTTCAATAAAAACATATTTCGCAAATAGTTGATAACTGATAAAACGGATTAAGCTGATAAGTGATAAGCTGTTGCCTGTTTCAATTTCTTAACATAGATTTTCTATTTTACATTTTTATTAAATAAAAATATTTAAAAATATATTTA